CTATCCTGGATCATCTTTTAAAGGCCAATATAATTAAAAACAGGAACATGATATAATTAAACAAAAAACACAGATACCTTTACAAGCAAGAGAACTGATTGATACTGTTTTAGTTAAAGGAAATGCTGCAGCCAACATCTTCAAAAACTGTCTAAAAGAAATTGACTCTACATTATATAAGAACTTATTTGGTGAGTTTGTTGGCAAAATTATTTTAGAAATCCTTGGAATTATGTTCATCTTTGTTTTTGACAAACAAAATAAATCTGATTAGCAAACTATAGTCTCTAATATGTTCTAAAAACTGAAGTCTATTATTGCTCCAGTACTATGGCTAAATATTGGGTCTTCAGAAAAGTCATGACGCATTTTTGCAACCGATAGCACTACTTCATTTTAGGAATACTAAACTCATCGCATCTATGTTATTGCTATGTCATTTGACAGCCGACAGTTCTAGCTTCATTTTTTAAAAAAAGGGGAGCGATTAGGTTGAGTTTTGGAAATTTTACAACAAGTTGAAGATGGAAGACCCAACTGCATTTTTGCTCTATTTTTTTACTCCCATAAAGGGAAGAACATGCATCAAGCTTGTGAAAAGATGCATAAAGTTCATGGTGATAGTGCTCTACGAGAACATCAGTGTCAACGATGGTTCAGGAAATTCCGTGCTGGTGACTTTGATCTTAATGACTCTCCTCGGTTAGGGAGGCCCACCGAGGTTGATGACAACAAAATAAAGGCATTGATCAAGTAAAATCCACGTTACACGATATGAGAGATTGCAGAAACATTGAACATTTATCATTCAAGCGGTCACGACCACTTGAAGAAGCTGGGATACGTAAGCAAGCTCGATATTTGGGTTCCGTGTGAACTCAAAAAAGTTGATTTGATGACGTGTATAAACATCTGCAATATGCTCATTAAACATGAGGAAAATGATCCTTTTTTGAAGTTACTGATAACTAGTAATGAGAAGTAGATTGTTCACAACAATGTGGTGTGCAAACAGTCTTGGTCCCGACGTGATGATTAGCCTCACACGACATCGAAAGCAGACATCAGAGGAAGGTTATGCTTTCAGTGTGGTGGGGTTTTAAAGGTGTTGTGTTTTTCGAGCTCCTACCAATGAAGAAACAATCAGTTCGAATATGTACTGTCGGCAGTTGCACAGTTTGAGCGAATCCATCATCCGGAAATGACCACACCTTGTTAATTGTAAAGGAGTTGTGTTCCATCGCGACAATGGAAGACCACACACAAGTCTGATCACCTGTCAAAAATTATTGGATCTTGGATGGGATGTGTTGCCACACCCACCATACTCGCCTGACCTTGTGCTGTCAGACTTTCACTTGTTTTGCTCTCCTCAAAACTCCTTGGCGTGGTATAACGTTCAACTCAGATGAGACTGTAAATCAGCACCTTGGTCAGTTTTTTGCCAATAAAGACAGGTCCTTCTATGAACAAGGAATTACGAAGCTCACTGAAAGACGGCAAAAGGATATCAAAGAAAATGGGCAATATATCATTGATTGATCTTTTTTTTTTTTTTGAAGATTTTTATTGGGGAATTGGGGGATGGGAACAGCACTGGGGAATTGGGAGGAGAACAGACAAGTTGCTGTGCTTTTGTTCTTCAGTTTAGTTGTGGAGGACGTTGTTTCACTGGCCCAAGTTGACACCATCATTGCGCTCTTCCCAGGCGAGGCAGATCAGTTTCCGGCCTCTGGATGACTGCTCACGGCGGCTGCTGGCCGCTCACACTGGCTGCTGGCTACACACGGTAGCCCATGGCAACCCACTGCAGCAGGGGCTTACACCATTGCCGGCGACTCACGGCAGCCCAGCTCCAGGTTGAGCTGTTGTTCAGCGTCTTGGCTGTAGAGGGCAGTGTCACTGGCCCTCATATGTGGGATCCTAACCGGGGCCCTCAGGCATCCTAAGCCCCCTCTTAACCAACACGCCACTCGGCCGGCCCTCATTGATTGATCTTTGTTCTTTATATAAATAAGTGACCTTTGAAAAACAGACAAAATACATAATGACTTTTCTGAAGACCCAATATTTTCTGACAATATATACCTACAATCTGTTATCAGTAGATAGTAGGTAAAACAGGCAGTAGGTTAAGCGGTGTTGTATTTAGTCGAGTGATGCTTTCTGCATGGTTTTGTTTTCCTTCAGTGAAAAAGAATATGAAGTATATTCCAACAGAAGACGTTTCAGGTAAAACAAAATTAAGACTTAAGACCAACATGCTGTATTATCTGTATTTTTTTAATGGGAGGAGGTAAAGTAGAAACTGAATTTCACAAAAGCTTTTTTTGTTGTTAATAGGTCTGTCACTGGAAGAAAAATTAAGGAGGTTGCAAGAGGAAAGAACTTATCAAGTGTGTATGGACAAAGAAGTTTCTATTGTATTCATTCCTTGCGGTCATCTGGTAGTATGCCAGGAATGTGCCCCTTCTCTAAGAAAATGCCCTATTTGCAGGGGTATAATTAAGTGTACTTTTTATACCTTTCTCTCCTAAAAACAAAACAAAAAAACATAGGCTATATGTTAGCTTATATGTAAAAGTCTTTAAAAATACTGTTGAACATTTAAGCCATCTGGAATAAAAAAGGAATTATTAGTTCTTTATTTAGTAACATTTGTGTTCTACCCTGCTTTGGTATTAGTAATGTTGTTTCAAAAAATAGATACTATCGTAAATCATATTGAACTTCAATCTGTTTATATGAAAGGGAAGATTATGTTTTTTGGGCTATTTATGGAATTGTGTGAATAGAGGAGAAATTAAAGGAGTAGTCTCAGTGTTAGTATATATCATTTCAGGAGTGACTAAATTTGGTCTTCTTCCTGAAAGCTTTGAGTACTACATTATAATTTAAAAGAACTGGGAACCAGAAACTGGAGTTTATCAAAGTTATACTGTCAAATTCTCTGTGGTGTTTTTCAGTTGTGTTGTAAAATAAGGAAATTTCTCTAACTAGTTAGTAAATAAGCTTCTCCCTAATTTGTAAGTAACATCTTAATAAAGTTCTTTAAAGACTATCTCATAAAAAAATTTTTTTTGTGGATTTAAAATATAATTTCCATATGTCTTCATAGGGTTAGAAGGGTTAAAGGAGATAACATACATAAACATAGTACCTGTCATATTATAAGCAGTCAAATGCTAGCTATTAGATTAAAAAATTGAACTCATGAAACAAATTACTAATGTTTAATAACAATGTGATTAATGAGAATGCCATTAGCTAACATTATTTGTCTAGTTGCTTTGTATACTATAGATATAATCTGAATTAAAAATCCATATGAAAAATTCTTAAAATTAATAAATCTGCAGTGGATTTAAAAAAAAAATCATGAAAGCTTTGTTGCATAGGTATTGGTGGGATGAGGAGGTGGAACACAGGCAATGTTAAGTATCTCCTTTTGGGGTCCATTCATATTTGACCTTTCCCAGGTCTAGGTCTATGGCAGACTTCTGAGGCCAAGTGGAAAGGAGGTCTAATATTAAAAACTCCATTTTTCT